ATGCGCACCCCAGTGCACCCCCAATTTACCCCATCGAGGCCCCGCCCCCTGCAGAGGCCCCGCCCCGGCCACCGAGGCCCCGCCGCCGGCGCGCGGTGACGGCGCGGTGACGTCAGCGGAGCTGTCCGCTCAGCACCGCGCGGCGCCCGCGCCGCCACCATGCGCGGGGTCCGCGGCCGGGAGCGCCGGGAGCGCCGGGAGCGCCGGGCGCCGCGGGGCCGCCGCCGCTGCCGCGCCGGGAGCGCAGGTGGGAGCGGGCGGAGCGGCAGAGGGGGGGCAGCACGAGGGGATCCGGCCGGCGGGTGACGCGCCGGACCCCTCGGGGGAAGGGCTGGGGCACCGGGTTCCCGATCCTTCCGTCGTCCGGCGGAGCGAGCGCGGAGCCCAGGATGGGCGTGCGGGGAACCCGCCGTAGCGCCCCCGGGACCCCCGCCCCGAACAAAGAGAGGGGCGGAGCGGCCCCGCGCCCCGGCGGCCTTTGCGGCCGTCGCTCGGCAACGCCGCGCCCGGCCCGGGGCCCGGCGGCCGGCGGGTGCTGCGGGGCCCGGCCGGGGGGCGGCGATGGGGGCGCCGCGGCGGGGCTGTTCCCCGAGCGCTGCTCCCGGCCCCCGCCGCGCTGTGGCCTGCGGGGAAGGGAGGGGGTTCGGGGGCCCGGGGCGGGCGGCAGCAGGTGGGTAAGTCCCGGCGCCAATGAGCAGGCGCTGGGCTCCCCTAGCAACAGTGCCCGCGCCAATGGGCGCCGCGAGCCGCCCGCACCGCTGCCCGCAGCCCGGCCCCGCAGCCCGTGCCGGCCCGTGCCATCCCCGCATCGGCCCGCCAGCCCTGCCATGCCGCATCCCCGGTGCCCCGGGCCGGCAGAGCCCTGCTCGCACTCCTCACACCATCGCCCATCCCCAGCAGGGCCCGAGCGTCGCGTCTGGGCTCTGCGGGTAAAGTCCAATCCTGCTTAGCGTCCCCCCGCGGGCTCGAGAAGGGGCCCGGCGCTTGGCTGCCCACTCCCTGCCCGCCTGCTTCCTTGGGATTAGGCTCTGCTCGGCTTCCCCACGGGGATTTGCCGGGGCTGGTGTTGCCTTCCCCAGCCAAAGGGAGGAGGGAGGTTGTCTGCAAGGGATGAGATGCCAGTGGAGCCCGTCTGGGCAGCAGCAAGATGCTGGGCAACAGGAAGCCATGCCTGCAGCCTTTGCCCTCTTCCCAGCTCCTTTCCAGAGCGCTGTTTTTGTGAGCTGTCCTGAACTGGCCGCATAAACTTGGCATTTGAAAGGAGTGATGTTGGCCTGGGGACAATTTGTGACAATAAACCCATTCTAAACCAACTGAGCCTATAAAGGGACTAGGGGAGTGAAGGGGTGATGGAACTGGCTCCAGGTGGGAGCAGGCAGACGGACGCTGTAATTAGGTTTAAACTGAAGCTGGATCAGTCTTTGCAGGGGATTATGACCCCTCCATCTGTGTAGGCGCTGCAGGGGGCCCGGTAACTGTTTGCTCAGCATCCCGGCATAGCCACAGTGTTATGGGTGAGCCCTGGGTAAGGGGCAGTGCCAGCTACAGCTGGTGCCCTTCCAGCCCCATGGATTGGCATGGGAGGGCTGGATCTAGCATGAAGGCCCAATTTGTTTTTACAAGGACAGTGGGAGCTGGAGCAGAGATGAAAAATAGCCAGAAATATGATTAGAGGATTGGAGAAAATGCCTTGGAGTACAAGCTTAAAGAGCTCAATCTGTTTAGCCTATAAAAATAGAAGACTGAGGGGTGACTTAATTACTGAGCATAATTACTTCACAGGCAGAAAATACCAAGTTGTGGAAGTCTCCTGGTAATCGAACAGGGAAAGGGTGCCGGAGAGGCATGGGCAGGAAATTGAAGTCACAGACAAATTATTAAGTGACACGAAGCTTCCAGGGACACAGGCAGATTCTCTGGGGACACGCATCCCTTCAGCCACAGGTTGGGTGACTGTCTGCACCCCCACTGATGAGGCTGTTCCCCCATTCCCTCCGTTCCTACCCACACAGTGGAGGGACAGAGCAGGGTTTCTGGTAGCCAGGGGTGAGTGGTGGGATGGCTGCCGGGCATGTGCCACCAGCTCCTCCATTCTCCTTGCTCTCTCCCACCAGGTGGGGCGGGTGCCGGGACACAGTTCTGCTGGTGGGCTATGAGGCAGGAGTGGAGATTCTGATGCCTCTCCCAGGAGTCTCCAGAGCCATGACTGCAACTGTGCAGACGCTGCGGTTCAAGCTGCTGCCGCACGAGCCAGGCCATGAGTGGGGGCACAGCTGCCAGCAGGAAATTGAGCGTCGCTACCAGGTGGTGCCCTCTGTGGTGTGTGCCATGTGCTGCCTTTTTGGCATCATCTACTGCTTCTTCGGTGAGCCAGGCCAGCTCAGCCGCTGGTGGGGCAAGTGGGGAGGAGGGCAGAGGGGAGCTGGGGGGTGCTTTCCATCCCCTCCCTGACTATGGTGGTCTCTCCACAGGCTACCGGTGCTTCAAGGCTGTCATGTTCCTGACGGGGCTCATGTTCGGCTCTATCATCATCTTCATGCTGTGCTACAAGGAGCGGGTGCTGGACACACAGCTGAGCGTGGAGGCCTCAGTGGGCATTGGGTTGGGCATTGGGGTCTTGTGTGGGCTGGTCACCATGCTGGTGCGCAGCGTTGGCCTCTTCATGGTGGGGCTGCTCCTGGGGCTGCTGCTGGCGGTGGCCACGCTGGTGGTGATGGAGCAATTCTACCACCCACCAACGGTGTGGATCCCCATCGCACTGCTCTTGGGTGTGGGCATGCTCTTTGCTGTCCTCACACTGCAGTGGCAGCGTTTCTTCACCACCCTCTCCACCGCCGTCTTCGGCAGCGCCATCATGACCGTCACTGTCGACTACTTCATTGAGCTCTTCCTCCTGGTGCAGTACATCTATGAGCGCATCAAGGTGGCCCCTGCTCGCCCCGTGTGCTGGTACAGCTGGGTCATCCTGGGAATCTGGCCGCTCCTCACCACACTGGGTGTCCTGGTCCAGTGGAAGGTCACTGCTGAGGGCTACTCCCATACAGAAGGTGTGTGGGGAGTGTGGCAGATGGGCATGGCACAGGGGGAGTGTAGGAACTGGGAACCTGGGGACTGGGGTGGATGTTTCCAGCATGCAGTTCACAAGATCAGATACGGGGTTCAGGACTCTGTGATGGCACACCACCCAAGGGAGACCTGGTTGCACAAAGTTGGTGCTGGTTTGGCTGTGGGGATCGTTTGGATGTGCTCCCCAGTGCTCATAGGCCGCTTTGCTCCACAGTGATCATCAGCCGGCAGCAGCGCCGCGTGCAGCTGATGCGCATCAAGCAGCGGGAGGACCGAAAGGAGAAGAAGAAGAAGCGGAGACCCCACCACCCCCCACCCCACCAGCACAAGGCCCACCCCCCCGAGCCTGCTTACCGCCGCAAGCCCAACCCTGTGCGCCGCTTTGATGGGGACGTGCTCTCCCCCGTGAGTCCCGCAGCCAGGGTAGAGATCTCCCCCAGTCTTCACACTCATTCCTTCTCCACATTGGGGGCTGGGGCATGGAGAGGTGCCCAGCTAACATCTGAGCTTCTCGAGGGATGAGATTGGGGTGTCCCAGGGACTGAGCAACTCAGGTTGGAATGGGCCATTCCTACCATGGAGCACTTCAGCCTTTGCAAGCAAATGGAAACTGCTGGCCAAGAGCACTGTTGGCATAGCAGAAATAATCAGTAGGCGAGGTGCAAAATGCCCAGGGGAGGGATAAGACTGTGCTCCCTGCTGTGGCCAGCTAGTGGAGGGCCTGAGTGCTGGGAATTTCACTGGGCTGTTTTTGAGGGGGGGGCAGGGAGGGGCTGCAGCAGCATTTAGGATGGGGTGGAGTGGTTCAGGAGCAGAGCCCCCCTCACTTTCTGTTCCTCTCTCACAGAGCTACATCCAGAGTTTCCGAGAACGGCAGACAGGACCGTCGCTGAACAGCCTCATTGCCAGCTCCCATGCCGTGGTGGACCTGGACTATGACTGCAGCTCCACCGTGCCCCTCACCTCGGGCTCTGGCCCTGCTGTGAGGGTATAAGCCAACCCAGTGACCTCGAGCAACACCAGCACCCCAGCCTGCTCTGGCAGAACCCCTGAGACAGGCAGGGCTTTGTCCTCGGGCCCCAGTGGCCACATGCAGCTTGGGGCTGCAGATGGAAACCCTTCTTGGAGACACATGGGACTTGTCTGGGGAAGCCCCAGCTGCCAGTGGGGCCCAAAGGTGCTGGGGAAGCCCTTTGGCAGGGACTCAGCCCAAGGACCAGAACCCATGGACGTGCAGTGCGAGTGGCTCTGCTGGGGTGGTGGGTCCCCGAGCCCCCACTGCTGTGCATTACCCTATGGCCCGGGCACGCTCATCCTGCATCTTAACGTTTCCCCATATTTGAGTCCCTCCCCTTCCCAGGAGCAGCTCCCCACCCCATTGCACCCCCAGCAACTCCCCAAGTGCCTGTCCCCTATGTCCCTTCCTCAAAGAGCAGGTCCCATGGCCCTTTTCCCAGCAGGGAATCCCTTGAGCATGTGAGCCCTGTCCCACCCTGTCCCCAAGAGCAGCTCCCAGGCAGTGCTTCCCAAAACCTGCCTCCTCAGAAGATCCTCCTGCCCTAGCCACCCTCCCTACACCCCAGAGCGGCTTGCCACTCCTTTTTCCCAAGCTGGACCGGGGTGGTCCTGGGGCAGAGACTGCCACGGCCAGGTGGTTCCCAAGGTGATGCTGGCAATTGGTGCCTGCCCAGCGGGAGCTGCGCTGGCAGGGTGCATCCCCCACAAAATGTTTTGATGGGAGACAGGACATTGGCTCCAGCCTTTGGGCAAAGGCTGGGCTGCCTCAGGGATGCGGGGACCCCTGCAGCATCAGAGACCGTCGCTGTTTTGCTGGCGACTGGATTTTTATAGTGGCCGGGGGACCCTGGGGCAGGGCAGGGCAGGAGCCCCTGCCCAGAGCACTGCTGCGGGCAGAGGCTCACGCCTTGTATATATTTCTCTTGCTGTGATTTGTATTAACTTATTACGGAGTGAGCCAGGATTTCCCCATGGCCAGGCAGGCAGGATGGTGGTGAGACTGGACCGGGGAGCCCTTGGCTTTGGGAGCCCCTCCAGCCCAGCCCAGCCCAGCTGGCCCCGCTGCCCCAGGAACTGCATGTTTCTGCCAGGCACCCCCTTCCCGCAGCATTGTGCTGCCATCCCCCTTTTCAGTCTCTTTTGTAAATGTGCCAAACGCTGTTGAGGCCTCGGCCACACAGTAAAGAGCCTTTCGGAGTCTGGCGTGCAAAGCCAAGGACTGTGGGGAGGGGGGAGCAGGGGTGAGGGGGGCTCAGAGGGCTGGGCTTCCAGGGGTGCTGAGCAGGATGTAGAGTGGTGCCACCACCTTTTCTCTTAATGAGACCCCAGCTTGCTGGTGTGGAAGAAGCCATGTCAGAAAAAAAGGCTGTTTAATGCAGAGCCCTGAGGCTGAAGCAGGCCGGGGATGGTGTCCATGTGTCTGTGTATGCCAGGGGGAGCATGACCCCATCTCTCAGCAGTGGCATCTGTCAGTCTGCGTACAGGCCCTGAGAACTGCATCCTGGCTTCTAGCTCCCTGTGGGAACAATGGGAGTCAGAGTGAGCTGGGGCATTGCCAGAGCAGCTGTGCCACCCAAAAGTTGTATGCCAGACAAGGAGGATCAGAACCCTGGCCCTGTATCAACCTGCTGCCTCCAGCCCAGCACTCAGACTCTCGCAAGCAATGGGGAACAGGGACACGGGTTCTGGTGTCCCTTTACTGTAAGGCACAGCAGCACTGGCAGCTGTCAGTGGGTGTCCCTTAGGTGTCCACTCACCCTCCACAAGGAGCCGGGCAGTGGAGCGGTCGTCGAAGGCGTCGCAGGTGTATGAGTCCTCGTCCTCGGGGCCCACGCGGTGAATGATGAGTGTGCGGTAACAGTCCAGGTTGCAGATCTCATACTTGTCACCAGCAAAGATCTCGGTGTCCCCACGGAGCCAGCGCACACGGCCCCGGGCATGGGACACGGTGCACTCCAGCGTCGCTTTGTGTCTCGCCAGCACCGTCTTGTCCCGCAGTGGCTTCACAATCCGGATTGGCAGTGCTGGAGGTGGGGGCAGGGTGTCAGCACCAGGGGGTGAGCAGGCTTCCATGGGCACACCACACGCTGACCTGGTACACCCCAGCCCTGGTGCTGGAGGCCAGCCAGACCTTGCAGCCTGCACTGGTACCTTCCACCTGCAGACTGGCCTCCGAGGTGACTGTCCTGGCTGTGAAGCGGATGAGTCCCTGGTCCTCAGGGCGCACACCACAGAACAGCAGGAAATGCCGGGTGCCTGGGGTAGGAGAGGCTGGCTCAAGGCGACAGCAATGCACACCCATAGGAAGGAGTGGGGCAGGGTCCCCCCCTTTGTCTGCACAAACTCCCCTTGCTTGAATTTGCCCTATCCCAGCCCCAAGCCGGGTGTGGAGCCACCTGCATCCCCACCTTCTTGCCGTATCTTCACTGTGCTGGAGACCTTGATCTTCTCCCCGTCCCGAAACCACTCGCCCTTCACATCCCCGTGTGACACCTCGCAGGTGAAGACTGCATTGTCACCTTCCCGGACCTGGACATCCTGTAGCTCCTGCACAATGTGGACCTGGCGCTCTGCAAGTAATGGACAGGGTGCCAGGGCAGCCAAGGATGGGGGGAGCAGGCAGGGCAGGGTTTGGGGGTGTACACCCTGCTGGGAGCTGGGTGACCGTACCCTGTACGTGCAGCATGGCGGAGGCCTGGCAGTCGCCGGCATCGCAGGTGTAGCTGCCGGCGTCGCTCAGCTCGCAGCGGCTCAGCTGCAGGATGCGGCGCCGTCCCGCCGAGTAGATGCGGCAGTTGGGCCCTGGCCGCAGCTCCTGCCCGTCCTGCACAGAAGCAAACAGGCAGCACCCCACTGCTTTGGCCCCTCTGCTCTGCCTGCAGCCATGGCAAGGAGGGCAGCAGCCTGGGGACAAAACAAGGAGGAGTACATGGCCAGGTGCTGGTGGAGGGGGCAAGGGTGAGCCCTCACCTTGAACCATTTCACCTCTGCATTGGGGCGAGACAGCTCACACTCAAAGCTGGCAACCCCCGTCTCTGGGACCCCCAGGTCTCGTGGGACCCTCACCATGGTGACTGGAGGCTCTGAGGAGGCAGGACACAGGACAGGAAGGCTTGATTGGACAAAGGCATGGATTTGGGGCTGCAGGGAAGAATAGCTGTGGCTGTGGCATTTCAGCATGGGGTGAGAGTGGCACCACCCATGGGCAAGCACTCATCAGTGGTGTTCCAGCTGGCTCTGGACCCAGACCCTGGCTGGGTGTCCCCACTGCTCAGTTCACATCTCCTCCCTGAGGACAGGGGGACACTTGCCAGCACTCTATCACCCCTGCTGAGGACAGGGGAACGCATGTGCCAAGTGTGGCCCAGCTCAGCCTCAGTGTCTCCCAGTGCAGAACAGCAGCAGGTCAGACAGCGCCAGTGCCACCCACCCCCAGCCTGCCCCAGGGACCGTACCCCGCACCCGCAGGTGGGCGCTGCAGCGCAGAGTGTCAGCAGTGAAGGTGACGGTGCCTGAGTCTTCGAGTGCGAGCCTCTCCAGTGTCAGGCTGTGCCCGCAGCCTGTGGCACTGATCCGGCACGTACTGCTGGGCTTCACCCGGATGCCGTCCCGTGTCCACACCCCGGTCACGCCAGGGTGAGACAGTTCCAGGTGAAAGGTGGCTGTCTCCTTCTCAAAGGTCTCCACATCTGTCAGCGGTGTCCGGATCGACACCTTCCGGGCTGTGAGGGACCCATGTCTGTGAGTAGGTGTCTGCTCCACTGCAGAACCCCGGCTTCACAGTCTGTGCTTGCTGGAGTGATCATCTAAATCCAGTTATTTGCACAGGACTCCCACCCCGGCCCATGCACCCACCTCTCTGAGCACCCCTTCCAGCCAAGTGCCAGCTCTGCCCACATGCTCCCATTGCAGTAGTTGGGTGCCCTCCCTGTCCCCATCCTCATCCCCGTTGCCTTCCACCCCCGTCCCCAGCCCGGTACTCACGCTCCACGTGGAGCTTGGCCTGCGTGCGGTCGTGCAGGCTCTCGCAGCGGTAGGTGCCGCGGTCAGCAGGGCCAAGGCAGCAGATGGTGAGGGTGCGCCGGCACCCTGACTCCTGCAGCTGGTACTTGCTGCCCGGCTGAAGGAGGATGCCCTGCTTCAGCCACTGCACCTCGGCAGCCTCGTGGCTCACCTCCACCTCCAGGCACACGTCCCCCTGCTCCTCTGCCACCACATCCTGCAGCTTCCGCACAAACAGCACCTGTGCCTCTGCACGGCCCATGTGCTGGGTCAGCAGCCGGCCCCAGTGTTGTGTCCTGGGCTGAGCCCCAGCTTTGTCCTTCCCCCTCACCTTGCACACTCAGCCGAGCTGTGCTCACCAGCCCTTCGGCATTGGCTGTCACAGTGCCTGCATCACCTGTCTGGCACTGCCGGAGGGTGAGGCTGTGGCACAGCCCGCTCCTTGTCACCAGCAGACGCTCACTGGGGACCACGGGCTGGCCATTCAGCTGCCATATTACAGCCACATCTTCGGGGGATACCAGACACTTGAAGGTGGCATCCTCGCCCTCCAGCACTGTCAGGTTCTGCAGTTCCATGATGATCTCCACCACCCTGGGGACTACAGCCAGGTTGTCAGGGCACAGCATAAGGGACCCCCCGTCATGAGGAGACGCTGAGCATTTCTGCAATCCTGACATCGCTGTGCCAGCATCCCCACCACCCCCATGGAATAGGCGTCCCCCAGGTGGTGGGGATGCCTTGGGCTCACCCTGCACCGTCAGCGTCGCCAGGGTCTGGTCGTCGTTGGACTCGCAGCAGTACTCGCCGGCATCCG